TTCGTCACCATGGTAACTTACGCTACACTGCTACCCTGCCCCAGAGCAGGTTTTATTCTGAGTTAGAGATTGCAAACCAAAGATGGACCAATCAGCTCTGAGCAAAATAACATATATCTAACGAAATAGTATAATGTATAGTATAGCAATAGTATAATGTATACAATAGTATACATCCCCCTTTATCTCTAACTACAAATTAAAGTTTATAATGATACAATTTTTGAGACAAATCTTTTGCTGCTAATTGTTTATTATATTTACATTTTATAGATTATAATTATGTATAATTCATATAATATATCCATATAATTAATTATATGAGTTAACAATTAATATTGAAGTTGACATTTAAATTAATAGGCTATAAATATAAATACAAGGTTCAGTATATAAAGCTGAGAATATAAACTGATAAAGCTTGTTTGTTTTTTTTTAGTTCCTTGTGATATAAATTATTTAAATTCAGTTGAATCACTTGCATTGATATAGTCAGTAGCTGCCTTCACAAACTTTCATGTTGCGTGTGATTGGCTGATTGCCGCACGTGTCACACTTTCAGGTTCACGCGACTCACAAACTCAGGATCAAAAACCTGAGTTGACAGAGAATGTTTATACCGAGCGTTGTGCAACAGCTGATCCTGATCTAAACCGGGTTGGGTTTGTCAGGTTTTGTCAACTCAAAACTTACTCTGCAACTATTGATGCAACGCTTCGTGCTACAGGCCACAGATCCATCTATGTATTATTTTACAATGGACTATAATGTTTTGAATAACCAGCTATCCCAAAAATATAATAATAATAGTGCAGAATGTTCAAGCTTACCATCATACTGTCCGAATGTCTCAAAAAACTCATCCTGGCATTCGCCTAACAGCTTCTCTCTCCATTGTTGCTCTGGATCAACATAGGATTCATTTTTGACGTTCCCCTGTTTCAGTTAAATTAATATGAAACATAACATGAATTTCAAGATGCATAACTAATCATGACAGCACAGCACGACCTGTTTAAAATGTTCCTAATATAACCAAATAATTATTAGTTTAATAGTTTAGAGAGAGTCTCCATTTTCACAGCACCTGCTCAGGCTTCATCCACTGGAGCAGGTCATGGGGAGTCACTCCTGCTTTATTAGAAATAGCCATGGCTTCTGGACAGTTTTTTCGCAATGGCACCACCAGATCATCATAAGCTGCGGTGAACAAGGTGAACAGTATTACAAAAAAGTTTAATCGGAGAAAGAGTTTGTTGATATTACACGGTCTCTTACCTCGTTTGCCATGTTTGAGGGCTCTTTTTGCGGCCTGATGTAGCGGTGTGTCTCCATTTCGATCGGTTTGAAGGGGATCTGCTCCATGTTTCAGCAGCAGTCTGAGAACTGCATCATCCCCGTGCGAACAGGCAATGTGTAGGAGGCTTCTGTGCTTCTTCCCCTGCGTGAAGTTCAGCTCCAGGTCCTTGTGTTTACGAAGGAACGACTTTAACTTCATCAGGCTCCCCTCTTCCACATAGCGCAGAACTCTTCTCTGTTTTCTTTTCACCATCGGGACTCATTAGATGATATTCAGATATTAAATTCTAGACAACATTATGTATACATTTTGAATGCCCCATTTGTTCATGAGAAGTCCTTTCAATGGTTTAAACACGGACATAAACAGACGTTACACAACATCACTGCAGTACGTCTGCAAAATAATTCCGGAGGAAACTAATAGTTCCGTATTTGACACGCAGGGTTAAAGCGGATCTGCATGTGACGCTGTTTGCCGACCAGTTTACATTGACACGAAATATATATGGATCCATTTAGAATTATTAAACATAATAAAACACAAATTAAAAAAGCAAATAAAAACATTATGAATCTGTCGAATGTGGCGTTCTGAAGGCAGCTTGACATCACCAGTGAACGGTTCCTCTGTCCGAATGAGTGTTGATGCCCATATAAACACCACTGACCATTGCAAACTGCTATGAAAACACATTTATTCAGCGAGTGTCCATTATAAAACACTTGCCAGACATGCGAGCACACTGAAAAAACCTAGTGTAAAAAGCTAGAAATGTGCTAGTATCAGAGAGCGCACAGACACGGTTTGTTTATTTGCACACTAATAATAACAGACTCGCGCATGTCTAATAATGTACGACTCCTGTATGTCACTGTAATCGTCTTTACCTCCATTACAATCGTCATCCATCAACACGTTACTGGAAAGATACTGGTTTGCTTTATTCAGGCCATACAGACTAGTCCTGACTTCAGCTTAAAGGTAATTAATAGAGGTATGTTTGTTCCCACCAATCGCTGCACAAGTTAAGGTTACATATGATGACGAAAGCACGTTAGTGCTTGCCCAAAAAACAGTTTGCAAAAAAAAAAAAAAAAAAAATTTGATTAATTATGGAAGTCTATGAGAACACTCAGGGCGATTCTCGGCCAGAGTGAAATCGCCCAAAAAGCGGCAGGACTCCACATAATGTGACTTGATGCTGATTGAACTATATATCTAGAGGCAGAACAAACAGTCTAGAACAGTGACAGCTAGCATAACACTGTGGTTGAATGTGTTAGAAAAAAATCCCTCCCTTTCACACTTTGGTGATGCGTCACCCTATCGCCCTAATGAAGAAACTGCCCCTGGCTGGGTCTGTCCCACCAAAAATTGCACCCAGGCAGTTCCCCGCTATTACAGCGAACCAAATAATAAAAAACAAACATCCTCTCAAAAGGAGCACCTCTCCACTTCACACTTGCAACTATACAAGCAATGCCACTGCCATATCACCCTGCAGCCCAAGACTGGTTACCCACTGAAGCTAAGCAGGGCTGAGCCTGGTCAGTACCTGGATGGGAGACCTCTTGGGAAAACTAGGTTGCTGCTGGAAGAGGTGTTAGTGAGGCCAGCAGGGGGTGCTCACTCTGTGGTCTGTGTGGGTCCTAATGCCCCAGTGTAGTGACGGGGACACTATACTGTCAAAAAGCACCGTCTTTTGGATGAGACGTTAAACCGAGGTCCTGACTCTCTGTGGTCATTAAAAATCCCATGGCACTTCTCGTAAAAGAGTAGGGGTGTAACCCCGGTGTCCTGGCCAAATTGCCCCCCTGGCCTTTGTCAATCATGGCCTCCTAATAATCCCCAACCACTTGATTGGCTCTATGACTCTCTCTCCTCTCCACCTGTAGCTGGTGTGTGGTGAGCGCACTGGCGCTGCTGTCCTGTGGCTGCCGTTGCATCATCCAAGTGGATGCTGCACACTGGTGGTGGTTGAGCAAGAGACCCCCCCACATGATTGTAAAGCGCTTTGGGTGTACAACAATACACAGTAAAGCACTATATAAATGCATCATTCATTCATTCATTCAATGGCTATCTGTCCCAGTGCGCCAAACCACCTTTTGCAGCGCTTCAGCCCATGGCCATTCCGTTTGTGTCAAGTTGGGTCTTGGAGACAATCCAAACATGTTATTTTC